GATGGGTCTTGGGGGGGTTTGGTTGCTTTTTTGGGGGGTTTCCCCATTTTCAATGGGTCCTGCATGCTTCCCTTGCTTTTTTCTTTGTATTTCCGATCTGCTCCGTTTGTTTTCTATGCAATTCCAATGGGTCTTGCATGCTTGATTGCTTTTCTTCCCCCCCTCCCAACTTCGGCCGGAAGGGATTAATCGCGTTTCCAATGAGTCTTGCACTGATTTTGTGTGTGTGTGTGATTTTTTTCTTCGGCCAGTATGGATTAATTGCATTTCAATGCATTCCTATGGGAAATGGTGCTTAGACTTAAGACCATGTCAAGTTACGTCCATCTTCTGGAATGGATTATGGTTGTAATTTGAGGCACCACTGTACTGGCTCACCGCTGGGACCCAGGGCAAGAGAGGACATTTTGTTGCCTGAAACCCTCTAAATACCCTAACCAGATGTTGACTGTAACTTTCACTCTTTAGCTATAAGGCTTAATTAAAACAATATAGTGCTAAAATAGGCTGCTGTCCTCCATTTCTCAGAATGAACTCACACATGAAAATGTGGAAGTTTAATTTTAGCTAATGTTTTTAAATACAACACTGTCTGAAAAGCTGGCATTCTCTAAATGTAACACTTTGCTTTTCTTCATGTCTTCACCTTACCACTGAAGATAAGAGTTGGTTCCAGCAGTTTTTTGTTTTGTTTTTAAAAGTCAAATATTTTTCTTTTTCTGCCCCAAATGTCTGCGTAACTTGACAACAGTGAGGTCAGGATAGTTGTCTTGGGCAAGAAATAGGCAAATGGTTGGGTGGTGTAGAGCAGCGTGTAATTTCAACAAGGCATCACTGAGTTCATGGATTAAGATCTCTCTTTGAGATCTCTCAGTGTCTATAGAAAAATAGAAATGACAATCAAGAAGTTCAGAATTTCATGAGGGAGCCTGAAAAAACTTTGCTGCGTAAAATGCAACAGGCTTATAAATAAGATTGTAAGTAACACTCTTTTGTATCATCTTCATAAATAAGCTACATGGGTGTTAATTGTTTTCTCTGCAGAGCTGCCTCATGGATAATTGTAACTTTTAAGGCGACTTGTAGATTCAGGTACACATAATATGTACTTATTAAGTTTTAGATACTACTTATTTTGAGACCGAATTATATTACATGACAAAATCTCCTTATCTTGCAGAGTCTTTTTCCCAGCAGGATCAACTCAAGCTTCCCCTCTATTTGATCGCCCTGTTGTTGCTGCCTTCCTAGCTGCTCTCCCCCCCCTGCCACCATTGCTGTGTCCTCTGTCCCATCACCTCGCCCTTATCTTGTCATTTATTTCTGTCATCCTCCCCACTTTGCCTCTTCATGTCATTTCTCTTCCATTAGGAGCCTTGTGTGGCACAGTGGTTGAACCGCAGTACTGTAATCAAGACTCTGCTCACAACCTGAGTTTGATCTCAAGGGGATTGGGTAGCTGTCTCAAATCTGACTCAGCTTTCCATCCTTCGGCGTGGGTAAATTGTACCCAGCTCACTGGAGGCATGAAGCAATGTGTAACCTACATAATTAAATTGCAAACTGACCATAAATTAAACATTATGGGGTAGTATATAAGCAGCACACTTTGCTTTGCATTGCACACCTAATCCTCCATCACCTCCAGCATGCATGCCCTGCAGTACCACATCACTTTTCATCTCTAGACTATACTTCCTCCAGCCTACTCCTTTCCTTCCCTCCTCCAACCCATCCCATTGCCTTATCCACCATCTCCAGCCTGCATCTCCTGCTGACTCTCCGCTTCCCACCACTTTCTGCCCCCCCCATCTCTTCTCCACAATCTGCTCTTTTTTCATAGCTGTTTTCTAAGAATGACACTCAGTTGATCTTTAGAGCAAGGCATTATTTGGCAGCAGGTTAGGGAAATAGCCTGTTCAGTTACCCTCATGCAACACAGGTGATTTCCCAAAGCAGCCCATCTCAGAATGCCTGACTCTAAGAGGTTCTCATAGATCGGTCTTGGAGAGTTGTATACAGCATAGCTTTGTGGAGGTGAGCAGTGAATTCCCTGATCATACTGGTCCATTTCCTGAAGTTTCCAACTCATTTTGGCTAGTTGCAGAGCTGATATTGGTGGGAAGCGTTCAACAGTTACACTTCTTCATCTGCTCTGAGTATTTTTGTCTACTTTTTCGAAGAGAATGACATATATACTAAATACTTCAGTAAGCAATTTTAAGTAAAGATCATCTTGCATTTGCATGACAAAGTATTGAAGATGCAAATGTTCAAAATCTTTTTTAAAGACAACATCGGGCTACTTTGAACTCTAAAAGTGACTTTCAAAATAATTTCCAGAGTGCTAGCTCATTAGTTTGTTGCCTTAAAGTCAGGGCTTCGTGTGCTCTCCAAAGCCTGGGGGGGGGGGGTTATACTTGATTGCTTTGCCATGCTGCTGCCAAAATTATGCTTTGGTCCAGAAATTCCATTACAGTTCTTGCCCACTCCAGTAAAACTTCTGTTTCTTGCAGATCATGTTTCTTGCTTCCTACTTTCCTCCCTTCCTCCTGCCTTTGCATTTTACCAAACTCTCCTGCATACACCATACAGAGCCATTACTACTGTACTACGAATTAATTAGTAATTGGCAGCAAAATTTTGGTGGTGGCAACTTCCGCTCCTGATAAGTTGCCCTCCTCTGCCCTTAAACATCTTAGCAAAACATCTAGAGCAATTTCTCAGATTATCCAGTGTGCATCATGTCTCTAGTGGAGTGGCCTTAACTTCATGAAAACAATTTGCTACTGTTTATTAGAACATTTTTTGTTTTCAAAGAAAACCAGTAGCCAGTTATCTGTCAAAAATCTCCATGCACTAAAATTGATGTTAGACAACAAATTAGTCCTCCTTGAATGATGGGTGATGTCTGGAGCTTAATGCAAAATATTGTTGAAATATCTCCTGCATGAATTAAACTAAAGGAGACCGGACCTGACTCGACTTGAAGTGGTTCACTGTGACAAAGGCTATCAAGCCCTAAAATCAGTTCTCAGAGGATTAATCAAAATTTATAAGTTTGCAGAACCCTCAGGCTTAAATAGGGTACTCATTGGTGTATTTCGTTGGCTCTGAGAGTATAGGATGGTTTGAAACTTTGTGAATTAAAGTGATAATGTTATTTTCCCTCACCTGTGATCCAGTACACTGTCATATTGTTCTTTGTTTTAGGAAAAGATTTCCATCAATAGAAATGCCCAATCTGTGACCAACCATCTCAGAATAATTTTTTTTTACTTCAAAACGTAGGTTTTTGGAAAGCCTTTTGGAAATTTCCTTTAATGCATGTGTTTAGATTTGCTAAAATTTTATGTATCTTATTTGTTGTTATGTTCTATAAAGTTGAAACTGACTTATAATGAGCCTAATTGGGCTTTTAAGGTGAGATAATTAAGAAGTAGTTTTACCACTTCCACAAAACAGCTATAATAATGTTTGTTTCTTTCTAATTTTTATGTGTGACAGCCGAATATTTCATGCAGATAATATTGGTTGTGTTATAGGAGAACAATAAATTTCAAAATATTTCCATTTCATTTATTAAAATTGTACTACAGTAATCTATATAGCAAGCACTGAGGACAACAGAGCGTGTTAGGACTAAAATAAAGGGCTGTGTTTTAAATGCACATGATTTTTAAAACATTGTATCTTGTGCAAAATGCTGTAAAACGATGATTGACCAAAAATAGTTTTTAATTTAAGCTGTCAAAAATCCCAGAAGCAAAATCTATATAGTTAGTACGGAAAGTGTCATGATTTATATAGATTTTCTATCATCTCCTTTTTTAAAAAGGGAAGCTACTAAATCATGGTGGCAGGGGAAAGAGGGTTGCCCCTTTCTGGAAGCCAGACACTTGAACCCATGCCCGAAGTGAGGCGGGTTTGACTGTGAAGCCTAAGGTTCGCTATCCCATAGAGCAGGAGTGAGCAAGGTTTGGCAGCTACACATAACCTACCTTGTGCATATATGGACCTTGAAGAGACACATATGCTCCTGCATCATGCACCATGAAAATCTTCTTCAATAAAATAAAATTGAAAAAGCCTCCTTTTGTTTTCAAGGAGGAAGGGATTAGTTCCATCATGGTTTGGAGGAGGAGGGCTGAGCTGTTCTAGGCCTGGAAGAAGCCTTTATTTAAGTCTGGACTTTTCCAGATTTTTTAAAAAAGCCTTCCTTCAGTCTTGGAAGAAAAGAAAAGAGCTTTAGACCGTTCAGATTATGACAGAATTGGCCTCCTTGTCCCTAGAGAATCTGAGAGGAACTTTTGATCAAAACAAGTTTCAAGTGGAGTAGGGCGTGGAGAGCAGGATTGTTAGGATCCCGTAGGGACTATATGTGACCCACCAACTGCCTTATAGGTAATGACTGGCCTGGAGTTATCCAGTGAGTTACTTGGGATTTGAACCTAAACTTTGATGGTTCCTAATCCAGCTAGTTTATATGCAGAATGTGAATAGTATATCTCCAAATACGATAAGAGGAAATGGATAGTGACATCCTATGCTGGTCTTGATTGCTATTATTCTCCTGTCCTCCTCTTTTGATGTGCCAGAAGCACATAATGTAATTATTGTTCTTCATCGTGGTCTTCTGTGAATGCACACAAAGGGTTAATACCAGCGCCAGCGTTGGGCCTCTCGGAACGTTTTCTAGCTGCAAGAGAAAAGTAACAATGTTTAGGACTACCCCTACTGCGCACGCCCAGCCTAACCGTCCCTCAGTTCCATTTGTCCGCCATAGGCCCTCGAGTCATAGAGATGCCAGTGACAGACAGACAGAGGGGAGGCCGGGCGGGATTGTGTGAATTCACAGAATGACCACTTGAAGAACCATCGTTACAGGTAAGTAACCTTTCTTTTTCTTTTTCATATCGCTTTCTGCCTGAAGCCATACCTCTTTTCTTTAGTACAGTCAATGGCCAGCAATTTTCAACAAGTAGTATTTTGCTTTTCAGCTCAAGTTCAGACATCATAAGAGATTTGGAGATTGCTGGGATGTGTTCAGGCTCATCAGATAAGTAAGTGTGGTACAAGGTAATGGTTGTCATTCATTTATTTTTGTTGCTCAGACAGCAGGTTCATCTTGTTTGAAAATATGCCAAATGTTGTGTGGATTAGAGAACTATTGGTGGAGGTAATTGGTTAGATGATGATGCTCCTGCCCTCTAACCCCTTCCCTCATAAGCTTCTCCAAAGATATTTTCTATGGGGTACGTAGCATCTTAAAAAGGATATGCTGGATGGAACTGAAAGAGAGAAAATTGTAACTAGGAGACAAACACCCACTTTCCTCCATCAGCTTCCTGTGTTGCATCCCACCCTGTCGGGAATGTCTCCCTAGATATAATTGTTGGTTTTTGTATGGTATGGGGAGTTCCAGAAGAGGCAGTAGAGTCACTTCTTTTTTAAACTCTTTCCTGCCAGCATTTCCCTACTTCAGAATCTCTCCCCAGTGATTTCCACTAGGTTTCCTCTTCAAATTAAGAACTCATGTGATTTGAAATAGCTTAAAGCTCTTCTTATGAACTGTGAATTAACACAAAAGCACTGAAATCCCATCTCTCCATTGTTATCTTGGCACCCATGGATGTCCTTTTATTCTGTAGAATCCAAAGTACATGGAATTTTTTAAAAAATGTCTGCAGTGGTTCATTGCATACAGGTGAAACACATGCTATAATAAGCCCCTAGAGCCATTAAAAATTTATCTGAGAAGTAAAAAATACAGGTAAACTCTTCCTCATAGATATGTTGGTGATTGTTCCTTCTATTAATGTTCAGGTGTCAGCACCTTGCCTGTGCTGCCAAAATGGTACTCTGTGTGAAGGTATTAATAGACTACATTATATATATAGCAAGTTTCATTTATTAATGTACCTATCTATCAAATTAATTTCACAACTTGATTTATGAACGCCTCGGTTAACGTCATTTTCGGAGTACAAATGGAAATCCATTGAAAACAATGCCTCAGTTTACGTT